CATGGATTGATCATTGGTTGATCATGGATTGATCATTGGTTGATCATTGATTGATTGATCATTGGTTGATCATGGATTGATTGATCATGGATTGATCATTGGTTGATCATTGATTGATTGATCATGGATTGATCCCTCTCAGGTATGTGCACAGGCTGAAGGAGGATGATGAGGCGTGTGCCGCAGCGCTGCAGAACGGTTCCGTGTTCTTGTTCCACCGCCTGGTTCCGCTGCTGCAGAGCAGAGACACAGGAAGCTTCTCACCTGCTCCTCTCACCTGCTCAGGTATTCAGCTCAGAACCGGGAGCAGAACTTCAGTTTCTCACAGAACCAAAAGTAAAAGCTGAAACGAACAACAAAGTCCAGATGGTCTGGTAGAACCGCAGGGACAGAACCAGAACTTTTTTCACCGTCAGCGCCTCACGTCAACTCTTCTTGTTTTTATCTTCTAGATGTCCAGTCTTTACTGCAGAAACTTGGTTCTGATGGATCCCTGCTGAAGGAGTCGGTTCTGGTAGGTTGTTCCGAACAGAACCAGGCCCAGTTCTGTCTGGATGTTGGTAAGAACCTGGTGAAGCCTGATTTACTTTCATACTCTGAGAACTTTGAGCACTGAGATGAAAACCTGAATGCACCAGTTTGAAATGAGTTCTGGAAGTTCTGGTGTGATGTTCTGGTCCATGTTCAGGAGAACTAGATCGACCAGCAATAGAAGAAGAGTGCAACGGAACCTTCATGGACCTGAGGAAAGCCTTCTTTCTTCTAAGTGGACCCGAGGCACCTCTTGTGGCCAAGGTGACATTTGGACTTTGAGGTTCTGGTCTTCGTGACGGTCCAGAAACTCAGCTCCGTTTCGAGTGATCTGATCCAAGTTCTGGTTCTGGTGTCTGATCTGCAGGCTCAGGCCCTGCTTCGCTGGCACCAGATGAACAGGTTCTGTGGTGCTACAGGCCAGCTGACCCAACGGAACCGGGCCGGCAGCCAGAGGTTCTGCAGCAGCAGCTCCATCGTCTACTACCCAAAGGTAATGAGTCAGAACCAAGTCATTGTTGGGGGTCAGAACCAGAACCAGACCAGAAGAAAACCAACCTGGATTGATTTACTTCAGTGGAGAAACTGCTTCTTTTTTGTGGTTCTGATCGATCACTCACCTGTTTACCTGCAGGTGTCTCCGGTGGTTCTGGTGCTGGTGTCTGATGGGTCCCGCTGTTTGTTGGGCCGACAGTCAACCTTCCCTCCTGGGATGTACAGCGCCCTCGCTGGATTTGTTGACATGGGTCAGCCTCACCTGTCTGTCTGCTGGCTCACCTGTCTGTCTGCTGACTCACCTGTCTGTCTGCTGACTCACCTGTCTGTCTGCTGACTCACCCGTCTATCTGCTGACTCATTCTCACCTGTCTGTCTGCTGACTCACCTGTATTTCTGGCTCTGAGACATCCCCATTTGAACCTTAGACAGGTGTGTGACTGGTGTGTATGTCCAGGTGAGGGTCTGGAGGAGGCTCTGTGCAGGGAGGTGGCAGAGGAGGTGGGTCTGGAGGTCCAGAGCATCTGCTACAGCTCCTCGCAGCACTGGCCTTTCCCTCACAGCTCTTTCATGCTAGGCTGCCATGCCACCCTTAGTCCCGCCCACTCTCAGGTGACTCACACACACACATTGTTTAGAAATGTCCTGGACTGGGTAACTGGTTATGAGGGACACCTGCACTGGACTACCTGCTGTAGGGAAGTTGTCATGTGACCTGCTGTGGTTTCCTGTCCAGCTGAACGTGGACCAGTCAGAACTGGAAGATGCTCGCTGGTTCACTTTGGAGGAAATCAACTCCGCCCTGCAGGTGCAGGCTCCACCCATAAGAGGTGACTGTCCTGCCTTCTGGCTGCCTCCCAAGCACGCCCTCGCCCACCGCCTCATCACAGAGTGGAGGGACCGCCAGAGACACGAAGAGGACACGCCAAGGACACGGGATGACAGCAGAACGCATCGAAAAGCTGACGACAACACGTGCGCCTGATTTATAATCCCAACATGTTCCAGGTTCAGAACATGTTTAGAACCCGTTCAGAACATGTTTAGGACCCGTTCAGAACATGTTTAGGACC